ATATATATATATATATATATATATATATATATATATATATATATATATATATATATATGTATATATATATATATATATATATATACTCTATTATATTAAAGTTAAGCTGTAAATAAGTCTAAGAGTTTAGCTTTAAAGCTAGGTAGAGATGATTCTAGGTGGACATGTTCAGGCAAGTTATTAAATGTTTTAGAGCCTCTTACAAGAACGCTACGTTCTGTGAACTCTAACTTTGATCTTGGAACTAATAACGTCATCTCACTGTTTCTAATTGAGCGCTTAGGTTGATGAAGTGTGAAATACTCATTGAAAGGAATTGGAGCCAAATTATTAATACATTTAAATGTAAAAATTGATAGATGCATAGATCTCCTATCTTTCAGAGAAATCAGCTTAGTATTAACCTACCAGCCAGTCAGAATGATAAACGAAAATAGTTATCATCAGCTGTACAGCAATCATGAATTTTGATCTGTTCTGCAAACAAACAGCAGCTGCCAACTCCTGCTGCTAACACAAGCTGCTGATAACACTGAATGGAAGAGCGGTGCCCTCTCCCTAAGTTCGTCATATAACTTTTCCATTGTGAAGGATAGAAGACTTTCTTTGTCGTTCTTTCTCAAACAGCTAGGGTTTTTATCCGAACAAAGTTGAATACATTCATTATCGATATCCTTTGCAATAAGCACTGTCAACTCCTTGATATTTTCATTTTTCCATGCAGCATTGGCTATTTGTTTGTAAGTTCCCCTCACAAGCATTTTTCCTAAAGATTCTAAAACTTCGGGGAGTTTTCTCTCCTTGTTTTTGGAAGGCCACTTTACCTTACAGAACACCTCAACTCGTTTTGGTTACAATGATTCATCGTTCAGTGTATCAGGTTCATCATCAAGTACTAACAGTTGTCGAACGCTCTCAGTCTTAGGTTGTTCATTTGAAACTAAAGGTGATACGGGCCATTGAGGAATGTCTGTATGATGAACGGGTGAGGAAGTAGAGGGTTGTAATGTTGTTGGTGTCGATTCTTTGGCATCTTTGCGAATTTTCTTGACAATAGTATTGCTGGTATTATCATGGAAATCACACACATTTCTTTTCAGTTGTGGAGTAATGTCTTCTAAATTGACCCTGTGTAAATTCTTTATACAACTGTTAATGCTATCCAGTTGATTAATTAATCCCCTCTGTTTCTTTAGCTTTTGAATGCAACCACAACAAATGAATCGACTCGTACGGCTCACGTTAAATTCCAGACTTTCCAGCTCCGAACGAACATTAAATTGCCCCCGTCCTTCTACTAGAAATCTCTCGTAATCTTTATCAATTGTTCTAAAGCACAAATTACACGCATTTGCATATGAATGCTGCATTTCCGCCATGTTGATTTTATTATTGAGCGGGAAAATTCTCTCTATTGACCAATGATTTAGTAGATAAGAACTTTTTATCATATTTTAATGCTTCATTCTGATGCTCTACACCATTGTTTGTATGGACTGCCACTTCTATGCGAAATGCTTGTACCCATCTCTAAGAATGTAAAATAAACATTCGTGAACGACACACAAAAAGGCTTCAAACAAAAGTATTAACCGAATTTGAAAGTAAGAATAAGATTTTTCGAAAGGTTTTTCGTATTTGGATGGATGAAAAAGTGTTTGAAAAGAATGATTATGAATTTAAATTTTAAAGTAAGGTATCAAGACAAATCACAAGCCCAGAAGTGCACTGTATACAGCATTCGCGCATCGAAGTCTGCTCGTTTTTGCATATCCTAAACAACACGGCATCTCATGCTGTATTTATTTATTGGAAACATTAAAAGTATAACTGATTTTAAAGTATGCACCTTTGCATTTGGTAACCACTTTCCTTCTTGCCATTTTTGGAGTTTCAAGGAAGACTTCCATAAAGTGCTTTCTTTCATGGTTTTCACTGCATCTTCAATCTTATTTGTTGTGGTTGAGTGGGCAATAGAGCGAAGGTAGCGCAGAATCTCATCTTTGTGGTCACTTACACCATGGTCAGATTTGCTGATCCATTCACGCCAAGCTTTTTCTCGATGGAAGTGACATAGAAATACAGTGCTTTCTACAATGGATAATTATTTCGTTATAATTATTTTAATTATTTATTATAATCTTGTAGACAATATAATTCCTAGTGGTGATAATTCACACTCATCTCTCTATAGGTTTTTACATCAACTCAATATCGTCACATATAAGCCATAGATACACCAAGTAATAAAGAAGATCTTGGATATCAGTATAAAATTATACTGATATCCAGGATCTTGTTTATTACTTGGTGTGTACATGGCTCACATGGTTCAACATATTGCAACTATCGGTTCTCAATTACTTGGCACAAACTGGCAGATAAATATTCCAACATTTCATTACTGATTTTCAACATTTTTATATTACTGATTTTCAACAGATTCTACTGTCCTACTTTCTCCAGATTACGATTGTATATTTGTCTATTTTAATCTGATGAAGGCAGCAAAAAAGCCATAATAATTAACACTAACTGCACCATAGCTTACCAGGAAATATAGACTCTATAGCTTGTATCTCCTTATCTGCAAAATCTACCATAAAGTTCTGTGGTTTCCAATGAGGGTTCCAACGTCGCAATATCGCCAGTGCTTCTTTAATGCTATCAATGTCTTCTTGTTGAATGACAAAGAGTCCAACAACTTGGTAACCGACATTGGTTTTCACACAAAGGAAAAAGTGTGGAAGTGCATACCTTGTTTGGTAAGTGGCATCAAGAAGGCACATGTTTCCATATCTTGCAAGTAATCGGCATTGTTCTTTAGACTGGTAACAAAACAACAGATCATGGTGGTGTGTAGGAGATGGCATAGCTTTAATATTGTCAATATCATCTTCAGTATCTTCATCATCAGCCCCAGAGGTAGACGCATCTTCAGGAAAGTTTTTCTCTCTTAATTTTAGCAATCTCGTTTGCGATATCCTTCCTTCTGGGGAAATATCTTCTTCTTGTTTTGGGTGGAATAGCTGTGCCTTTGAAAAGGTTATTCTTTACATAATGCTCCAAGTATCTTTTAACATCACTCACTCGTCTAACGCTCATCCCAATCAGTTCTGCTACCTTGTCTTTAATGGCAGGATCTATTGCTTCACAAATACCTACTGCCTGTAAAATAATTAGGTGACTAATAAATAAATATTGCAAATAATCATATGTAATCAACTAGTATATTTAATAAATGGCTTACTATATCTGGGAGAGGGAGAGAAACACCCCAATGTTTCATTTATCACAACATTCTTTGGATTTAATTGCTTTTCACAAATACATCATGATTTTACACACACACACACATAATACGGTACATGAATTGCTCACAGCTTTACTTGAATAAAGGAATAATAGTTTTAATACATGCACTTCTTAATTGCCATGTTGTTTTTAACATTTGATCTTGAAATATCTTTTTTATTTCCCTGGGCTGTTACATATTTTGGCTAACCTTTATTTGGATATTGGGTTGTTATATTATTTTTATTTATCTTAACATGAACATAAATATGACTTTATAACCAAGAAATGATGCAATCCAATTGTATCAGGAAAATTCACTTTTGAAATTATGAACAAATGGAACATGTGTTGATTATGCGAATTCTAAATGCTATTATAGCACCAACACGTCTGTATAATAATCGGAATTTAAACACTTAACATCGATAAATTATATACTATATATTGCATCTTCACTGGGGGGGGACCTGCCCCCTGTTTGTGTTAAGAAGCCTTGATGTTCGACACTTTTTGATGTGTGACCGAAATCTATTATATATAAATTAATATACCCTGGTAAGGTTTGGGTCAGGGCTGTACACAGGATTTTTTCCACCAGGGGGCCATAAGGCCTATATGCTGAAAAACGTCCCACATATCCATAGATATGTTAGTATAATTTTTTTTTAATTTGGACGTAAATATGCTAAAAACTGCTAAGGATATACTGGAGTTTACCCCAACCCCGGAGAAAGTGAATTTTAATATGTCACTGCCAGAGGAAAATGTTATAGCCATGTTTAAGTGTGAAACCTTATCAGATATTTAGGTTTTGTTAAAGAAGACATTGCCATAGGCGTACAAGACAGGGGCAACTGTCCCCCCCCCCAAAAAAAAAGACTTTCCCGCGAAAATTTGTATTTGTTTTCACAAGTCAGCCCGCCCCAAAAGTTTTGTGTAAATGCGTGGTGAAATTCATCTCGGGGAAGCGAGGTAGCTCAGGTACCCGGGCTGGCTCGCTTCCATATAAGGGGCCGACCATTTAACTTTTGAGGGGGGGGGGGGG